TCCAGCAACACACTGGCAGAGGTCTCCAGCAACACACTGGCAGGGGTCTCCAGCAACACACTGGCAGAGGTCTCCAGCAACACACTGGCAGAGGTCTCCAGCAACACAATGGCAGGGGTCTCCAGCAACACACTGGCAGAGGTCTCCAGCAACACCCTGGCAGGGGTCTCCAGCAACACACTGGCAGAGGTCTCCAGCAACACACTGGCAGAGGTCTCCAGCAACACACTGGCAGGCTCCTGGGATACGTCGCCCCAATCACCAATACTTCGCTAAGTATCACAAAGTCTTGAATTCAGGACTGCTCTGAGGAAGGGAGGGAGGGAGTTACCAGGGGAAAGTGCATAGCCAATACGACTATATAGCACAGGGAAGGGGTCAGGATAAGGATTCGGGATGGGACGGGGGGGGGGGAGAGGGAATGGTGCCCAACCACTGCCCTGGGTGAACCGATTCCTGTCGACCAAGACACCACCGATATTACTTCTGTGGACTAAAATGTCATCAGTAAGAAACTAAACCGGGATAAAATAAGATCACAGGCTTCCACCGGGAACAGAAAATGGGGTTGGGTGTGCTCAACAGATGGCATTGACAACCTCACGTCACTGGGAAACATGAGAGTTAGAGGGGACATGATCATCACATACAAGATTCTCAGAGAAATTGATAGGGTAGATAAAGACAGGCGATTTAACACAAGGGGCACACGCACTAGGGGAAACAGATGGAAATTGAGTGCCCAAATGAGCCATAGAGACGTTAGAAATCATTTTTTCAGTGTCAGAATAGTAGACAAATGGAATGCATTAGGCAGTGATGTGGTGGAGGCTGACTCCATACACAACTTTAAGTGTAGATATGATAGAGCCCAATAGGCTCAGGAACCTGTACATTAGTTGATTGACCGTTGAGAGGCGGGACCAAAGAGCCAGAGCTCAACCCCCGCAAGCACAACTAGGTAAGTACACAAACACATGCGCGGGATCCAAGAGTTAATACTCGATCCTGCAGGCACAAATAGGCGAGTACACACACACACAAGAAACAGCTCGTAACAGCTGTCTAACTCCCAGGTACCTATTTACTGTTAGATAAACAGGTACATTAGAGTGAAACTGCGCATTTGTTTCTGCCTTGGCTGGGAATCGAACCAGGGCCTTAGGATTATACAGCCACGAGGCCTCCCTCTGTCTTTATGAATGTGTGAGTGTGTTTGTGTTATAATTTAAAGATTCTGACGATCGAATTCTATGCCTAACTTGGCCTTAAAGTTGTGGATAGAGGTGGCTTCCACAACTTCTTTCAGTGCATTCCCCTAGTTGACCACCGAACGTTTTCTTTCATTTATTCGACTCATTTTTAATCCCAGCTTCCACTTGTGTCCTCTTGTCCTACTTTCTCTAAATTGAAAGAGTCCACCTTGCTTATTCCCCCTTCAGTATCATGTATGTTACGACCATAACCTCTTTGTTTTATCCTCACGGGTTGCGAGATCTCTCTCTCTCTCTCTCTCTCTCTCTCTCTCTCTCTCTCTCTCTCTCTCTCTCTCTCTCTCTCTCTCTCTCTCTCTCTCTCTCTCTCTCTCTCTCTCTCTCTCTCTCTCTCTCTCTCTCTCTCTCTCTCTCTCTCTCCCCCCAGCATGTGATACAACAGTGGCCACTCTCCCGACTGAAGGACACCGATAAGGGAGGTAATTAGGTAGTGATACTGTGGCAATCTACACTCTAATGAAGCTAGAGGGAGACGCATGACAAATGAAGGGAGAGAAAGGCCAAAATTAAATAAAAATTCTACTTAGAATTCAAACCAGACATTCAACACTAGAAATGAAACATTACTATAGGCTAGGTACATTTCAGATTGAAAGAAATTGGCCAGTGAAAGCTAATTATAAGAACAACAATACCGTTAAACATATATTGGCAGAGAAGAGATAGTTGAAAGATCATTGGAAATACCATGCAATATTTATTAGACAGGCTTTGTCTGAGCAGGATAGGGAGGTAGCAAAGAGAATTACGGAAGAAAAACAAATGAGGAATTCAAGATCATAAAAGAGCACAAACCACGTGAAAGAACCAGCGAACCCGACACCAGAGAGTATACTACCGAGGGAAACAGTGCAACTGCTCAGTTTAATTCGGCACCCACAGAATAGAGTAGACAGGAGTAGCTCGATCACCACTCATCCTTACCACTACCAGAAATGCAAATACAGCAGCAGGAACAGAGCACGAGTACAAATTGGGTCGTTTGTATTTCCGTTATAGCAAAGTACAGTATGTTTATTGTATATATATAGACATACATTAAGAGATGTACTGTAATCTGCGATGGCATGAAGACACTGTAACCTCCGAGGACATTAAGACACTGTAACCTCCGAGGACATTAAGACACTGTAACCTCCGAGGACATGAAGACACTGTAACCTCCGAGGACATGAAGACACTGTAACCTCCGAGGACATGAAGACACTGTAACCTCCGAGGACATGAAGACACTGTAACCTCCGAGGACATGAAGACACTGTAACCTCCGAGGACATGAAGACACTGTAACCTCCGAGGACATGAAGACACTGTAACCTCCGAGGACTTGATGACTTCTCGATAACATGAGAGAAGCGCACCAGTCATCCCATTCTCCAGAACATTACTCCATCAGTTATCAATCATCTCTCGCCTCACATGAACTTGGAACCTTTAACTCCCACAACAGATACACGTGTTACATGTTGTTAACTGAGACACCGCTATCATCTTCGCCTCACGGATGGCTCCAGCTTCCCCCCTGTACTCAAGCAGGAGTATTAACAAAGCCGTCACAAGCAGCTTATACTACCCAACCAGCAAGAATGCTTTAGCGCTGAACATATTATAGACGTTTGAATTTGAATTTAAATTTGAATTTTTGAATTTAAATTTGAATTTGAATTTTTGAATTTGTTTATGCAATTTTAAAAAAAGGTTTACTTTAATATTACACAATAATAAAAGCTTCTGCGTTACATTTGTCTTATGTAAAATTATTGTATCAGATGTTGACCATGTGGCATAATACATATGACTCGTTGGAACGTAAATTACATATAGTTTTTAGCTATTTATTAGGATATAAATGAGGAAATATTTGAGGTACTGAAATGGGCTCGAACT